AGATTGTAGTTAACAACAACAATTTAAAAAAAGTCAGAGCATAATGTAACAGTAAGTCCTAGGAAAGATTCAGGTATATGGTTTTTATTACCATAAGATGGGGCCTGGTTCCATAGACTCCACAACATGGCTCAATAATCTTGGAAGGTCTCCCAGGTTTTTGTGTTATTGTTCTGTTTTTCACATTCATAACTGAATCATGGTCCAGCATTTATAACCAATAGACCTAAATTAATAATGTAGACTGACCTGAAATAATAATACTTCTAGTCTTTTTTTTAAGAAAGTTAACCTTGCCATTCAAGAATGTGCAAAGTATGCATAGACATATATAATGATGTTTTAAAAAATTAAGTTAATATTATTAACAATTTAGGGTGGGACTGAGGGCTGTGGCTCAGTAGTAAAATGCTTATACAAGAAGTCCTGGTTTTTTCCTGAGCACTGCAAACTATAAATGAGAATCTAAACTTTTTTTTTTAATTGGGGTAGAAGTAACAATGGAATTTTCAAAATAATTGTGCCTTTTCAAACTCTGTATGCTTTCTGAAATGTTGAAGAGAATTAATGTGTTAATAAGCTTTCTGTTTCCCTGACAAAATTCCTGACATAAACAATTTACAAGGAGGAAAGATTTCTTTGGGCTCATGGTTTCAGAGGCTTCAGTCTAGGGTCACAAGGCCCATCACTGTGGGCTTGTGGTGAGGCAGAACATAATGGCAGAACAAAGCTACTCACTTCCTGTTGGCCGGGAGGGAGAAGGAGAGGAAAAGTTAAGAGACAGATGGGGGAAAGAGAAGAGAAGGGGACAAGATAGCCCCTTCCAGGTCACACCACCAGGGATCTACTTCTTCCAACTAGGCCCCACCTTTGAAAGTTTCTACCACCTCCCAATAGTGCCACCAGCTGTGGACCAAGCCCTGAGTCTATGAGCCTTTGGGGGACATTCCAGATCCAATCTGACAATCAACTACATTAAGTTTGTGTTTGCAATTTGAAATGTTCAATAGGGTGGGTTGCATTGCATTATTGTTGTTGCTATTATTATCAGTATTGGTGGTTACATAAACTCCCCCATTTACTATAGGGCAGAGGTGTCTTAAATGCCAGCTCCTACTGGTCTTTAGATTCCATCAGTCTTCTGATGGTAGACCTGACCTTGATGTGGAAGTGTGTCATGGGTCCAGGTGCCACTAGCTGCAGTGTACATTTAGAAACAACGGTGCCAGATCTACAACTCGTCTCTTTATCTTGGTTTTGCCATAGAAAGAGAAAGTGGACTTGGTGTGCTGGCCAATTTCAATTTTCATCACCGTTTTCCAGAGGGAGGCACCAGAATGGTTTCCATACTTATATGGATGATTCCAGTCTTTTTGGTGCAAACTAAGACTGAGTCCAGAGAGCACAGGTGGTAAATATTTAGGGACACTTCATTTGTTCAATTTATTAGAGACTTTATAAAGAAAAAAAAAGTACCTTGAATGTCAAGGCTTAAAAAATAGCTTTTAGCTTGTACACTTTTTTAAAAAAATTGAATTATTTAAAATGTTAGTTACTAAGTACCCTTTTCCATATAGTTAATCCCTTGTTTATACATTAAATAATAAGCCAGCAGCAAGTATTACTGAGTAGGTATCTACACAAACATAAAAACATTGTTTCCCTGGAACTAGCTAGAAAGAGCTGAGGCAAGTAGCATGAAGGGGAGACGACAAGAAGGACAAAGAACAAAACACAGATCGGAAGCAAAGAGTAACTTAGCTATAGGCAACCTGTTTATTTATGAGAAAATCATTGTTTTGGATAACTAGATCCCTGAAGCCAATGCTTCACAAAGGCAAGGATTTTGTCTATTTTATCCACTACTGTAGGTTTGTAGTTTTCCTCTGTGTCTGGCTTGTAATTTGCCTTCAAAAAAAAATTTTTTTTTTTTTTTAATTACTGGGGATTGAACCCAGGGGTGCTCTACCACTGAGCTACATCCACAGCCCTTTTAATTAATTAATTAATTTAATTTTTATGCCAGGGTCTTGCAGGGCACTGTGATGCATGCCTGTAATCCCAGTGGCTCAGGAGACTGAGTCAGGAGGATAGCAAGTTGAAGACCAAATGTAGCAATTTAGCAAAATCCTAATCAATTTAGTAAGGCCCTGCCTTAAAATAAATAGGACTGGGGATGTACTTAATGGTAAAGTACCTGTGGATCCAATCCCTGGTACAAAAAAAAAAAAAAAAAGAAAAGAAAAGAAAGAAAGAAAGAAAAGAAAAGAAAGAAAGAAAAGGAAAGAAAGAAAGAAAAGACAGGTACTTGCAAGTCTGGTACTGGCCTCTTGCAATCCTCCTGACTCAGCCTTCTGAGTGCCTGGGATTACAGGCATATGCCACCATGCCCAGTTACCTTTAAATAATTTTGTTGAATAAATAAAATTGAATTTCAGAACTACCTAGATTACAGATTCATGGGCACCTCCTATGGAACAGGATCCCTAGGAATGTGGAGACTGTGATTTTTTTTTTTTTTTTTTTTCATGGAAGTTGTCTTTGGCCCTGAACTCCTGTGCTGTTAGCTGGAACTAGACATGTGCCAATATACTCAGTTCTGGAATTTGCATTCCTTGCACACCATCTCTGTCATAAGCCTCTCTGTTACAGTCAGAGGACCCCTGAAGTCTCTTCACTTTGCCAGAGAGAAAATTCAGGCTACATGTCTTGTTCAGGTTCCCATGGATAACACCAAAAAGTAGAGTCTAAATTGCCAATCTCTGAAAAGTTCACTGGTTTGTTTACTTTCTTTAGCTTTCAATGTATGGAAAACAATCCAGCTTCCAGGTTGTTTCCCCTGATGGGTGGCTTGGGGTCCATTTCTGTATGGCTCCTCTCAGCAGCATTTCAGATGGCATGTTTTCAGAGCAGTCCCCAGCTCATATTTCTAATAAAAAAAAAAAAAAAACTAACTTTTAGAATTTTTGTCAGTGTCCATGAACTTCTCATGTTTTCTTACTTCACATGGTGGAGGAAAAGTTTATTCCACCTAACTAGGACCTTCAGACTTACTTCATCTTTTTTGCTCCTAAGCTCTTCCTTGTTTCCTAAGTGGAATCCATTTTCATATGCCATTGTGTTCCCTTAGGAAATACCAGAATCTTATGCTACTATAATAGTAAAGTGGTGGGAAGAGGACATCTTCACTTGTAGGCCAGCGTCCTCAGGAGTTTCATTAAAAGGCATGATGTGATAGGGCTCAGGTAAAGCTTGCTTTGCTTCTCCAATTTCCTGAGCCTGCTGAAAATGCTAAGCAGACAAACTATACGAATGAGTTAGGCTTATTTTTCAGTTCGTGAAAGACAAGATCACTTTGTAGAGAAATTTGACATTGGAGAAATTTAAGGTTGAGTAGGACACAGTGTGACAACTGTAATCCCAGCAACTCTGGAGGCTGGGACAGGAGGATTGTGCATTCCAGGCCAGCCTCAGCAACTTAGTCTCAAAATAAAAAGTAAACATAGATAGATAGATGGATGGATAGATCCATGGATAGATAGATCGATCGATCGATCGATCGAACCCAGGGTTTAACTCAGTGGTAAAGTGTGCAGGGTTCAATTTCCAGTACCATAAATAAATATATAAATAAATAAGAAGAAAGGAATAAATAAATATGACGTTGTTGCGATGCACGGTGGAACCTCGGCTACCTTTGGACATTTCCTTCTGTCTATAGTTCACATATTTGCCATTTTGTATGGCATAATTTGACGTGAACATACTCTATATACAGAGTTACAAAAAATGTAACTGTGAATGGATAATTATGAATGTAATGCACTCCACTATTGTCATGTATGTAAGAAATAAATAAAAAATAAATTAAAATAAATAAAAAAACAATATGATCACTAATTGATTGACAAGCAATTTCAACATATTCCAATATATTTAACCTAAAGCAGTAAAGTAGCATGAAGTGAGTAGACCACATGGTTTTCATAGCACAGTTCTATCAGAAATGCTCACTTTGGTCAGAAGGAATGGGCTTAATCTCATTTTTTAAAAATTGTCAGCACCAGCAAAACTTTTGGAAAAGAGTTCCATGACTTCAAAAAATAAAAATAAAATAAAATAATGGGGCTGGGGATGTGGCTCAAGCGGTAGTGCGCTCGCCTGGCATGCGTGCGGCCGGGGTTTGATCCTCAGCACCACATACAAACAAAGATGTTGTGTCCGCTGAAAAATAAAAAATAAATATTAAAAAAAAATTCTCTAAAAAAAAAAAAAAAAAAAAAAACCCAGCCGTCTGCATTGTTGGGCTACATGATCAATCTTGGCCATTTCACCTGCAGAAGCGCTAAACGGATGACTCAGGGGAAGAACCCCAGGGAGGCCAAGCGAACTAAGCCTCTGTGGTCCTTCCTGCAGAGTCTCAGATCTGGTTTCTCAGCTTCACTCTCGCCAGACAGATTGGGCTTCCTGGAGTGTGGCAGGGTGCGACCAAATGGCCAGCCCTCCCAAAACCCCACGCCCTTCCCAGGGAACAGACCTAGAAGTTACCGGTTCTTACAGACCCCGCCTGCCCCGGTAGCCGAGACCAAGAGGTCCAGCCTGGTCCCTGGGAGGCGGTCCTTCGAAAGCCCAGAAGACCATGCTGAACCGCACGCTTGTGTCACCCGGGGTTGACTGTACCGACTTCCGAGGGTCCCGCACTCTGAGACACGCCTTCATCCCCGGGGACCACCCCGAGGTCCCCAGGCGCCGCCCCGCCTCCGGTCCCCGCCCCGAGCCCCCGAAGCGCTTAGACTTCAGCCTGCGCGCGACTGAGTCCGGACACCGCTCCAGCCCGACGCCCCAGGGACACAGATCCGGACGCGCGGGCTGCGCGGAGTCCGCTCACCTCGGTGGCCGCTATCCCAGTCCTACTGGCCCTCTCCTGGGCTGCAGACCCTCCGAACCCGTCTCAGCATCCCTCCTGTGCCTTTTGCACTTCTTCTCCAGGCGCAAAGGACATGCGACCAGCTAAGCCAGGCTCTCCGCTACCCGCGCTCCTCTTGTTGGCGCTGGCTTTGTCCCCGCCGGGGACCCAGGGAAGGCCCCGGGGGCGCAGAGCAGCTCCTGTCGTCTCAGAGCCCAAACCGTTGCTTTTCCTCCCTGCAGCGGGGACGCGCCCGGCTCCTAGCGCCTCCAGGAGCTCAGGTAAGTCGTCGCAGTCCCATCCCATCCTTTGCCTGAGCCTGGGTCCGTGTGGAGTACCTTTGGAACTGTGTAAGACATTTGCTCTTCGAAGCCTGAATCAAGCACAACAGAGAACAGACTGCAGATTCCCTGTCTGGGAAAGAAAGATGGGATGGGCTTATTAGATTTACCATGGTTGAGACTTAAATAACAAAATCCCTGGGGCAAAGACATCGTCTTTATACGCCCCTTTCCAGGTGTGGAAACCTTTTTGGAAATCAACTGATAGAGCAGATGAAAAACCTGGGCTTGAGTCTCATGGGCCAAGGATAGTGGATGGATTATGTAATTGTCAGAGCCTCCTTTCTGGGTCTTTTTTTTTTGGGGGGGGGGTTGAGAATTAACTAACCTAACTGCCCTCAGAGACCCATTATGCAGGAATGCCCCTCTCCTTCCCCTTCAAGCTGGCCATAGTAAATGGGTGATTAACACCACTTTCCACGGGCTGCTGTGGCTGGTGTTAATGGAACCTTTCCTGAGTCTGCTTAGAAGGGTGGCAAATGCTGCCAGCTGCTCCCAAATCAACACTGGACACTTTATACTTAGACGCCTAAGAAGGTGGGAGGAATGACAAGGGAAAAAAAAAAACTGCCACTATATAGGGTCATGAGACACCCAAAGGTTCAGAAGACGTTGTGTGACTGAGGAGGAAAAGAGAAAAGCCCAGTGAATAGGTCTGGGGCAGCTGGGCTGATGTTGGGAATGGGAGTGGCAGGAGGAGTACAGGATGCATGGCAGGAAGCAAGGTGAGGAGGGAAAAAGAGAGAAGCTATTTAAAGTGACTCAGGTCACATCCTGCACAAACTAAGCAAGGTGGAATTGCTGGCAGAAATTGAAAGCAAGTGGTTCCATCTTCAGAGCCACTTGGTGGCCTGCACCCGGAAAGACCAAGCCCAGGGTGCATCTTCCAACTGGTTCCACCTGTTGGTCATGCCATAGTTCGCAAGGATTCTTCTGCCTCATACTTAACTTTTAAGAAAGCCAAGAGGGATTCCTAGTACCCTGCTTGGTTTTGTGGTACTGTAGATTGAACACAGAGCCTCATGCACGCTAGGCAAGTTCTCTACCACTGAGCTGCATTCCCAGCTCTTTATAAAATTTCATATTGAGGTCAGGCATGGTAGCACATGATGTAGTCCCAGTAGCTCAGGAGGTAAAGGCAGGATGATTGGAGTTCAAAGCCAGCCTCAGCAACAAAGCAAGGCCCTAAGCAACTTAGTGAGACCCTCTCAAATTAAGAACTAAAAAGGGCTGGGGACGTGGTTCAGTGGTTGAACGCCCCTATGTTCCATCCCTGGCACCAAATAATAATAATATAATAATAATAATAATTTTTTTTTTCACTCTGAGGCAGTCTCACTACGGTGCCCAGGCTGGCTTTGAACTTCTGATCCTCCTATCTCCTGAGTAGCTAGGCTTACAGGTGTGCATCGCCACATCCAGCTCTACTTTTCTTTCATAAGAGTTATGACATCATATGTATACTTATTCATTCCACAAATGGCCACCTGTCTTTACATGGCAGTCGTTATGTAGAGGGCTGAGGCTACCCAGAGCAACCAGCAGCTAGATGTCTGCTGTTTCCAGTACGCTCAGGGTGTGGAGGGAGGGGAAGGCTTGAGCATACATACACTGAATGAGCAAAATGTTCTGCAGAATTCCCAGAGTGAATCAGAGGGAGGTGATGGGGAGGCTGAGATGGATCTGAGAAGAGTGTGTGGAGGACCTGGGTGAAGACTTTCAGTCTGACTGGCAGGTAGAAAGCCCTCAAGAAGGGGTGGAGTGGAATAGTGACCACAGCAGGGGGATGCCATGTTGCTGCCACACACGATCATATACTTCAACTTACAATCATTGTTCACCCAAGTATTTATCTCAGACGATGCTGTGTCAGTTTGGAATGTAAAAGGAGTGGGAGAAAGTCGCAACCACAGAGCATTTATGGAAATACATTAATTCAGATCTTGTGTTTAATTTAAGTCTTTTTGGTTAAAGACAGTGAAAAATTACTGAAGTGAATTAAGAGGAAGAAAACAGAATATTTTATTCCAAGTTAAAAGTGGTAACAATCTGATGCTGTGCGTGGTGGCCCACGCCTGTAATCCTAGTGCCTCTGAAGGATGAGGCAGGAAGATTGCAAGTTCAAAGCCAATCTCAGCAACTTGTCAAGGCCCTAATCAACTTAGTGAGACTCTGTCTCTAAATAAAATATAAAAAGGGCTGGGGGGATGTGGCTTAGTAAGTGGCCCTGGGGTCAATCGCCAGGACCAAAAAAAAAAAAATGTGGTAACAATCTAAAGTTGTTGTTGTTGTTGTTTAAATTTTTATTTTTTTGTTTGTTTGTTTCTTTTTGTACCAGGGATTAAACCCAGAGGCACTTAACCACTAAGCCACATCCCCAGCCCTTTTTATATTTTATTTTGAAATAGTGTCTTACTAAGTTGCTGAGGCTAGCTTGGAACTTGTGATCCTCTTGCCTCAGCCTCCAAAGCTGCTGGGATACAGGCATGTGCCACTGTGACCAGCAATAATCTAAAGTTTTAAAAATCAACATAGTCTGATAGAAAGTGACCTGTGGGTCACCCAAAGTCCCTTGCTTTCTCTGCCTGTTTGTAGTGGTCTCATCTTTTGATTATGGCACTTTATTCATATGGGGAGAACAAGAGTGGCACATTACATCTGAAGTTGCCTGTGAAAGGAACATTTGGACATGGATCAGGGACAAACAAGCACATGAATATAGAGAGGACAAGGACCCATCTGGAGGGTCTCATAGGAAATGCTCAAAGGGTAGTAGGTGTCTTAGCTTATTCAAGAGGAAACATCTCCCAAGTGTGGAGGTTAAGGATCTCTCACCTGTGCCAGATGTGTCTGGAATTCTGTCCCCAGGATTCTGCAGCATAATAAGCACCATCATGTACATGCTCTGGGTTCTGAAATCTCTGCTGTGCATGTAAGTAGAAAAAACTAACTCAGGCTCAGTTTCTTCTCCTACTAGCCTCACAACACAGATCACTTCTGACATCAGATGCGTTGGTTTTCCCCCACACCAAGCAAGCAGTTGATTCTGCAGGGTACACCAGCTGAGTATCCTTTAATCCAATTCACTTTCTATCTGGAGACAGTGTCAGATCCCTCAGGTCTAAGACCTAGTCCCTAAAACTGAACCTCTCGTCAGATGCCTGTGTGAAGCCCCAGGTCATTTTACCAGCGCTTCTGACTGACCAGCTACTACCAGTCAGTGTTCCTGCTACTCCCTGTTCGGGTTCCATTAATTGTCTAAGTGGCTGTCAAGGAAACATGTTTACCAATTCATGGAGAGTTCACTACCTCGTCATGATTGATTAAATCACTGGCCATTGGTGGTCAATTTCATCTTTAGCCTCTGCTCCCTCCCTGGGCGTTGAGAGAGAATGAAAGTCCCAATCATCTTGTTCTGCCTTGGTCTTTCTGGCAACTAGCCCCTATCCTGAAACTACCTGAGGACTACCAGCCCTCAATCAACTCAGGAGCATGCAAATGCATATTATCACTTCAGAGATTTCAAGGACTTTAGGATTTGTATTCCAGGAAGTCCAAACGAATATTTCACAATATCACAGTGTAGAGTGCTTTCTTCCTTCTCAGGCAACTTCTTTACACTCACAGGTAAGGCTGGAGGTGAGAGGATCATAACCAGGCTGAGGGAGCAGTAAATATGAAAACTGGAGTCAAGACGTGGACAACATGCAGTTACTCTCAAGGTTGTAGTTGGGGTGGAGGGGAGGTGTGAGCTTTGGGTTCCAGGAGCACATGCAATTCACCATCCTTGGCTGTCCTTCCTCCCCACAATGCATTCACTGTTCATGCACATATTCAGCCATTTATTCAGCCACTCAACACGCATTGGCAGTCACTGATAGGCTTGGGATTGTAAAGTTCACCAATTTTTTTTTTTTTTAACTTGCTCTTATGGAGTTTAGGTCAGCTGAGGAATCCTGCCAAGTTCTAGAGTTTGGGTCATCCTTTTCATTGTCCTTTCTGCCATCTTACTCCAAGCTCTCATGAGAGTGTTATAAGGACCTTCTATATTGTCTCCCTAACTTATTTAGTAGGCCACCATTATGTTTTTATTGGGATAAGAATCAGGAAGTGTGGGTTTTCATTCCCTTTATTCCCACCCTCTTGTTCCTGTTTCCTCCCCCTGTCCTTTACTCTGAGCATCTCATCAGCAGAGGGAATAGAGGAGGAATTCTACCTCAAACTACCAGAAGAAAAAGGGTATTACACGGGTTGGGGATGTGTCTCAGTGGTGGAGGGTTTGCATGCATGAGACCCTGTATTTGATCCCCAGCACTGCCCAAAAAAGGGGGCATTGGAAATCTCACCCATCAGAACACAGAAAATCAGAGGCTGAGAAATGGGCCCTAATGCCAAGAGAAAGGAGGTTTCAAGGAGATTGAGAAGAGATGAGATGTGGGGAGAGGGAACCGTAATGGGAACTGTTGGAAAGTTTTAATGTATTATTGCATCTCCTTTTGCAACCTAGTTTCAAGAGATGTCAGTAAACATTGACGTTGTTTCTGTAGACTTTCTGGAGTCAGATTTGTGTTGTTGTTTTAATGTAAAACTTTACTGAAATGGAGCTTAGCGAAAAACTGTGAAGATTGATTTGGTGAGGTTATTTTGAACAATTGCAAATAAACATTTTAATAAGTAGTGTGGATGGAGCTGGTCTTTCTGCAGTCACAAATCTAGAGTGGTTTCTTCATTTTCCAAGAAAGTTCTAATTCCATTTGAAGGCAGGACATTCATGGTCACTTTGTGACTGTCCTTTGGCTCTGACAGGGCTGCCTCCAGTGCCTCTGTGCCAGTGACAGTCTTAGTACTTGCTCCTTACAGATGCCATTCCGGCTCTGCGTCTGATATTTTGCTGTGTTCTAAAATGCACTTCTCTCATCTTTTCATATGGAATACTGTTC